AAAAACAAAAAACCCACAGAAACTGCAGGGACCAGGGATTGAGCCAGGGCCTCCCTCTGAGCTATGAGCCAGCTCTTTTCTTTCTTTTTCTTTCTTTCTTTTTTTCTTTGAGATGAGTTTTGCTAAGTTGCAAGCCCCACAGCCCCCACACAGCCTGGACTGTCCTCAAACTTATGACCCTCCTGTCTCAGCCTCCCAGAGTGGTAGGTCTATAGATGTGTCACTGTTCCCAGAATTTTTATGCTAGTGTATCTGCAATTTTAGAAGAAATAGACAAACTCCTAGACAAAAATTTCCCAAAACTTATTCAGAAGAAAATGAAAACCTGAATAGTCTTATAGCTATTAAAGAAATTGGTATGCAATCGAAGAAATGATACCCCATCAAAGAAAAACAGAACAGGGGCTGGGGATTTAGCTCATCGGCACAGCGCCTGCCTGGCAAGCGAAAGGTCATGAGTTCGGTTCCTGGTACCGGGGAAACAAAGAAAAACAAAACACAAAAACATTAGGCCCAAACATCCTCACTGGCTAGTTCTGCTCACCCTTCAAGGGAGAAACAACCCAAGCTGACCCCGTCTCTAAAGAGAGGTAAGCCCAAGACCACCTCACAGCTTCAGCCACATTTGCCACCATACCTCCCTGAAAACAGGGGCTGGAAATGCCCTACAGCAAAGACTGGTGGGACTGGGGAGGCCAGTGCCACTTCCTCCCCACTATGTGTGTGACCTACAGTACTGTCACCTGACACCAGCTTTGACACCCTTCTTTCAGGGTGGTATCTGTGAATCAAACACTAATCTAGGCTCTCAGGTGAGGGCCACACCCTCTGCCACATTCCAGTGTGCTCAGGGGCCCAAGCTGGCAGGGTATAGCCACTGAAAGTGCATGGCATGGTCTTTCCCACAATAGCCAAGAGCAAGGAGGCAGGCAGCGCTTCCTCAGCCTCCAGGTCCCCAGCACCACCAAAACTACCACTGAAGGCCCACAGAGCTCACCCAGGTGGCCATAGCCCACCACATGCTTGGTGCACGGGCCGAGGCGGGCACGCAGTTCAATCACAAGGTCGTAGAACCGCTCCACAGGCAGGGAGATGTCATACTTGAACACATAGCCGTCATGGCTTAGCGCCTCTGTGATCCTCTCCCTCAGGGCCCACAGTGCCTAGGGCAGAAAAGATGTCACACATCACTGTGACTGCACCTGCACCACTGCCAGTAGGTGGCCAGGCTCTGGTCACAGGGTAATAGCACATTCCTTGTCCACAGGAGGTAGGTCCTGGACCATGACCCAAGCCACCCACAGGCTTGCTCCAGAACAGCACTGAGATGTCAGGGCCCTCCTGGGAGAAGCCAGGCAGCCGCACATCCTTCCCAGCAGGGGGCTGAGTGAGGAGGGACAGAGCACAGGGCCAGCCTAGAGTCAGTCTGCTGTAAAGCAAGGGATCCTGAGATAGCTAAGCAGAGGCAGGAATCGCAAGTGGAGAAGGGCCTGACACACAGGGTCCTAGGGGATCTGTGAGCAAGGAAGGGACAGATTGGTTGAATGGAGTAGGGAAACTGAGGCCGAGTGGGGCCCAGGGAGAGGTTCTTTAGCCAAGGACTGGGTTGAGAGAGGTAGCTCGTCCAGGTAAATGGCTCCAGTTTTCATTTGGCTGTGGGCAACCACAGGACAGAGCTGTGTTTCCCAGATGTGGGGTCCCTTCCCCCACCAGGCACTGACCCACCTGGATCTGGACCCTGGCACCATCCCTGTAGAGACCCCGTCATTCCAGGGGCCACAACAAGTGAAACCTCCAAGGGGACTGTGTTTCCTTTAAAGTAAGCACAGCACCACACTAACCCAGAAGAGCACACAAGACCCCTCATCACCGACCCTCTCACCCATGTCAAGTCCCCAGTTCTCTCACTGCCATTCACAGAGGCCTGGCCACTCCATGCCCAGGCACCCATCTGCCTTGAGGATCTTAGGGGTCCTGACAGATGCTGCTGCCTAAGCTCCCCCTGCCCACCTGACTCTGTTCCAGTCCCTCTACCCTGAGAACTCTCTAGAACATTCAGGCTCTGCCCCAAGGCCACCTGACTTGGGTCAAATGCCATTCAGAACCCCCCAGGCTCCACTGCCCTGAGGCTGGCAAAAGACAAGGTCCTGACTGTACCAGGTCACTGTGACAGCCCAGCCAGGAGGGAACCTGGCATATCCAGCCGGTGTTGGCTGATGAATGAATATGTGGAGGAAGTACAGGTGTGCAGACCACACCTATTGGCTCCACCGCTCCACAGCCCTGGCACAGCACACACCTCCTACCGGCAGGTAAGGACAGGCAGCCAGGTAGAATGCTCAGAGGCTGTTCCTAATCATACAACACTGGCTCCTGCAGACCTGCAGGGGCCCATCTGCAAGACACATCAGAAACCCAGAGCTTCCAGAGGAAAAACTTGAGAACCCAAATGCAAACAGCACTTCCCCAGAGCCTGTCCCATGTGAGGCCAGCAGAGAAGCCTCCGAAATGTCTGCAAGAGGCCTCCATAGACTGCACTACACACACATGGCCAACACACAGTACTGCAGACCCACCACCAGCACCAGCAGAAGGGGGCACAGGTGGGGCTGGACTTCTCAAAGATCTCTGAGGGAAGCCTGCAGGAACAGTGGGCAGGAACAAAGCAGGCCGTGTGGCCATCTGCCCACACCTGCTGGCCCTGCGTCAACTGTGGAGTCCTGAGTGCAGGACATGGAAGGGCTGTGAACAGGCACCCAGAGAGAGTGGGCCGTGCACGATCACAAGCATCTCCCAGGTGGCTCTGGCCAAGGAGATGCCTTTCCAACTCAGGCAGCCACTGCACACGGTCCCCAAAGGAGAAGGCACACAGTGAAGCAACATAGGCACTTACACGAGGCAGCTGCCAGGGCATCTCTGTGCCACCAGGCCAGGGAGTGTCTATTACCAGAGACGATCTGCCAGGCTGAGGACAATGGGATCAGAAAACCAGGGACCCCTGGAAGGAAGCACAACTGTTCTGTGCCCCTAGCTGGGTGTGGACTGGGCTACCAGGCAGCTGACCAATGTCTGCCACTCAGGGGCATTTCCCCTGCAGACTCTGCAGGAGATGCCCAACACACAGCCGTGAGCAACCCACATTCCTGCCCTCACTGGCAGACACAGATCAGGATGAGGGGACATTAAGGCATGGGGCTAGCAAAAGCAACATCCTGTCACCAAGCTCCAGTCCCAGGACTGCACAGCAGGGCAATGATGCATCCCTCAGAATCAGATGCCCTAGAGGGTGAGGGTTCAGGGAGTCCTGTACCTGAGAAGTCAAAAGTCCAAGGCTGAGGTGGCTTCACACAGGACATCCAGAACTTCTCTAAACAGAAACCACATGCACAGCTGCCCTGCCCCCTGCTGGCCATTTGCCACACTGTAGCCAAAGACAAGGCGGACAATAGGAAGACAACAGCTCCTGAGGAAAATTAGGCACTTTCCACCCCACACACAACATAACTCCTGCCATGCCTCAACCATGCAGAACAAACCATGCTGTCCAGACACCATGGCTATATGGAGGAGAAAAGAAGGGCCCAAGCCACACAAGGGCACCTGGACTTTGTTCTGGTCAGTGCCCACAGTGCCATCAGTCACCAGGCCAGAGCCCAGGGCCTGTTCCAGGAAGCCATCCAGTTTCTCCGCATCATGATCTGCACTGGAGCCCGAAGTCTCGACCAGGATATAGAAGGGACTCTCTGGAAGAAGCAAAGATGCACAGTGAGCCAGGCCTGGGCTGTCCCCATGGAGACCAAACTCTAGACCAGAGCCTTCTGCCAAGCCAGAGTTTTCCTGGATGAGGCACTGCATCCCTGGAAATGCTCAGCCCCAGGGTGACCCTGAGAAGGCCCCTCCCCGTTGTCTCAGTGGCACTGCTGGTGCTGGGGCCCCTTCTCCCACCTGGGGATCTCCGTGCTGACCACAGGAGAAGTGGCTGTACCTCGCACTGGCCTGGTCAGGTGGAGGTGCTGCATGACCAGCTGCATGCACTCAGCATCCATGAACTCAAATGCAGACAGGATCTCACCCAGCATCCCCTTGCAGGTGCTGAAGACCTGTAAGACCTCAGCAAAGCCTGGGCAGCCTGCAACAGGTCACAGGTCATCATGGTCAGGCAGCACAAGAACAGTGGGACTCAGAGCTGCATCTATAGATGCCAGGTATCCCTTGTGGGCACCAATACCCATGCAACTTGCAAGATGAGGAGAGGAGGCTCAGGCTACAGGGGACACCCACAAGTTGGCCAACAAGTTTGTCTTGAGGTCACCTCCAGAGTCCAGGTCAGGACAGAAAATGTGCCTAAGAACTGTCAGACAGCACTTGCCTGGCAGGGAGATCCAGAGGGGATACACCTGGAGTCTGCACATGTGTGCCAGCAAAGGGTAGCCTTTGGAAAGTGGCTGCCTGGGTTTCTCTTAGTATAATCGACACCCAGTTTCATCTGCTCTTACAAGTTTCTGGACACCCCAAGGTCTCTGCAGTGCTCCAGGCTAGGGGCCACCCACACAACCCCATCCAGGGAACTGACTGACCAAGTAAGAAAGCAGATGTGCTCAAGGGTGGGTGGCCCCAGAGACCCTGCAGTGGGAGGGCTATACATGCCTGGGTTTTAGAGTGAGCAGTGCCAGCCAGCAAAAGCAAGGCAGCCCCCAAGGGCACCTTCACCTTGGCCTCCTCAAGCCCCACAGAGCTCTTCATGCCAATGAGCTGGCACTGCCAGGAAGCCTCACACACAGGACTCAAGGTGGCTCACGTGGAGCCTGAGGACAGCTGGCACCATAGACCACAGACCCCAAACACTGAGCTGCCTACCATATGGTCATACACAATACCACAGGAAATCACACTGGTTGTGTGTGAAGACAGGCAGAAGTCTAAAACATCTGGCTGGTACAGACAACTACAAAAAGTGATAGTGCACATTTGAAAAGAATGAGTGAAACTTCCAGAAACAAAAACTTTAACCATCACATTCTAAATCCAGTGGACAGGGAGATGCCCTCTAGGATGTGCTCAGCCACACAGGCAACACCGCAAAGGACAGTGAGCACAGATGGGAAGGTGGCCAGAAGAACTGAGCACGCAGCACAAGGGCCACACCACAGCCACACAAGGGAGGGCAGGAAGGGCAGAAGCCACACAGATAGCTGCAAATCCACCTGATGTCTAACCACTATCCCCAAAGAGGAAGAAACAGGCAAGACCTGAAGCAGTAACATAGGACTCCCCAAACTAAAAGCCACTAAGGCACAGTTTAAGAAGTTCAGCAATTCCAAAAAGATGAAAAGGAAAACTTCAGAAGACTGAAAGAATGGAGAGAGGCCTGGGCACAATGGCAATGGGGATGGACTGCAGGGCTGAGGTATGGGTGGATTCTCAGTGGTAGCAGCAGAGCAGCTCTCTGACCTCACGATGTCTCCCAGGCTTGGGTGGAGGACCCTTAAGTGCAGGTCAGGCTTTGTGTCCAGGATGAGATTCAAGCAGTTTATGGATGGATGGAAAGCAGAAGACAAAGTACAGCCCTATCTCCTCTTGCAGAAGTTAACACCTTGCTGTGTGTACAGACAGACACAAAGGCTGGCTGCACTCTGCTGCCTCCTCTCCCACTGACAAGAGCAGTGTAGCAATGTGGAAACAACCCCCAAAGACTGCCTTCCTACACAAGAAGAGACCCACACCAGCTGTACACCTGACCTGAGCCCTCACCTTCAGATTCATGCAGTGCTGCCGCTCATGGTGGAAGTAACAGCTGTGAAACAGCAACATCTGATGGGAATTTCCAACCTGAACATCAACACCAAGTGTCAGTGCCCTTGAAAGCAACCATTTTCCTAAGCAAGAATAAAACTGTAGTGTGCAAGGCAGTTGCAGGCAAGCCAACTACCTAGATCTCCTGGACTTTAGAGGGGGACAGTGCCCCTGAGGGAAGACAGCAATGACACAGTGACATCAGGAGTACACACAGCTATTCAGACAGCAATGTATCCAAGTGACCTGCTTGGTCTTCATTTGACTGGCAACAGGCATCTATCCACAGGTCTGAATCAGAAAAATCGTAATTCAACACATCACTTTCCCTATTGTGATTATTTTGATCATCATAGGATCTATTTAGTTTTTGAAAAATCAGTGCCTTGAGGAAATGTGCACTGAAAAACCAGCAGCTATCCCAGTTGCTAAGGAAGATGAAATGCAGCCCCCTGCCAGCTCCACAAAGAAAAACTGCTCTATGTACCAGAAATGAGATCTAGAGTGAAAAACCTGCTTGAAATTAGTTCTGCAAAGGTTCTTAAAAGACAAAGACATTCTAATGCATTTGCATTTATGTCCTCCTATGACTAGAATTTAGAAACTCAGCTGCTAGTAGCTCACTCTTTGAAGGACTGGTTATTCTACAAAGAAAGCACATGTGGGGCTGGGGATGTAGCTCAGCAGCACAGTGCCTGCCTGGCAAGTGCACTGTTGTCAGTTCAATTCCCGGTACAGAAAAAAAAAAAAAGAAAGCACATGGTCATAATGAGACATTTAAGGTGTGCAATATACAGTGAATGATGAAAACCACTTTTCCTCAAGAAATAACTTAGCTAAAAGGAACAGTTCTTAACAGCTTCTTGCGTATTCTGTTTTGAACTTATAAAAAGCTAATAACGTAAGTCTTGGAAATAGTTCCGTGTTAGCATAAGAAAAATACCTTTTTTTTTTTTTTTTTTTTTTTTTTTAAGAAAGGCTCTCTCAGGGCTTAGGATACAGCTCAGCAACACAAGCCTGGCAAGTACAAGGTTCTAAGTTCAATGCCCAGCACCAAGAAAAAAAAAAAAAAAAACACAAAGATCTATGTGACCTAGGCTAGCCTCAAACTCACAGTGATTCTTCTGCCTCAGTCTCCCAAGTGCTGGGACTATAGGCTAGCTCATTCTTTTCTCATGGCTACATAAGCTTCTACTGCATGACTATAGTCCCAGTGGTGCATTCAGATTAAGTTTGGAATGTGGTATAAGTAGTATCAATGGAATATTTCTTGCAGATAGAGTGTATCTATAAGATCATTTCCCTGAGTGAAATTCCTAGGTCAGTTGAAGTATGCCTTTTTACTACTGACAGATGTGTCAAACCTATACACCCTCTAAGGGTGTTTGTGCCTTGTTTTGAATCTGTAAGATTCTCACTTCTTCTTCAGCTCTCATTTTATTTTTTTAATTAAACAATTGGCTGATATAATGTAAGATCAAAATAAGAACTATACTCCTTAATGAAACTGTATTTATACTTAAAAGAAAGAAGATGGGGCCGGGGATATAGCTCAGTGGCAAAAGTACCTGCCTGGCAAACGCAAGGTCCTGAGTTCAATTCCCAGTACCAAAAAAAAAAAAAAAAAAAAGAGTTTTAAGATGGCCCAGAATGGGGGTTGCAAAAGATCCACCAACTTCCCATCAACAGTGAACCCAGCGCCTCTGACGTGACCAGCATGGACAGGGGAGAGCAGGGACTGCCTCAAGGCAGCACTTGGGGAGGAGGTGACATGGGCTTGCTAGAGTGTAAGCCTTGAGGGCACTTGTAACACAGATTCCACCACAGGAGACGGCCAAGTCCAGAGTTACAAGGATGGATCTTAATGGCATGCTGGATGTAAGAGGAATGGAGAGCAAAGGAAGAAGCCCATGAAGTCACAATAATTAGGATGACATGGACTGAAAAGATAAGACAGACGTAAGCTCTGTGACAATCGGAACTTGTCAGAGGGAGGTAGAATCAGGGAATCCACACTCCTAAGCCTCCAAGCAGGGCAGGGCATGCACTGAACTGGACTGGAAAGTTCCAGACACCTTCTGTCTCTTAGAAGATGGGAGAGGAAATGACAGGTAACTACCTAATGCAAATGAAGGCAGGAAAAGCGACAAGGGACCAGGGGGAAGGTAGGAAGGGGACAGAAGCTTGCCCCAAGTCTGCCCCAAAGGGCAGTGGGTCTGACAGCATGGGCCCTGAGTGTGGAAATGTTGCAGCAGACATGTTCTGGGCTGGGGGCCTTTCCTCAGGGACAGCACTCACTGCCTATGGTGATTAAGACTGCGTCCTATATGAGCGGCTCTATTCTACAAGATCCACCCAACCTCCTGAGTAAGGAGACTGTTGGCCCCCAGAGGACAAAATCAACCATCAAACAGTTTGCTAAAAAGGACGGTCACCAAAGGAAAAACTGTCTTCTGTGCTTCTGTAGGAAGCTACACGGTCAAGCAAGACCATGACCCATCCTGGTGGCTGACAGTGACAATGGAGCTAAGAGGCTCTACAAATGGTTCCAAAAATAATGTCTAAAGAGCTTTAACAGACCTTGCTATTTGGGAAAAAAAGGGAGGGGGTAATTTTGATTAATACTGGTCTTACTTTAACTTGGTCTTGGACATCCAGAAAAAAAAAAAAAGTTATCAAAGACATATTAAAGTAATAATAATATAGACAAAACATCAAAAGGGGCTCCAACCACTGACTGCTAATGACAGTTTCTGACTACACCTGTAAACAGGTCTAAGTGCCAACTGGTTACAATTACCTGACTACAACTGCTATTCCAATCTCTTAAAAACAGTATCAAGATATGACTTCTTCCCCAATCTGCTTTCCATTCTAGTCCTCATGCTTTAAAGTTTATTTATTCTTGCCTAGTGAAGACATGATGTGCTTAACGTATCTTATACCCTTCATTCCCTCAGGCAAAAGGGATTTCTAGGTCAAACCCCACCACTTGACTTTCTAGTTCATCCACACCAGTAAAGATGAACCCACCTTATCCAGCTAATATAGTCCTGATAAAGAGCATATCAGAAAGAGTGAACTGCTCATGGAGTTTGAAGAAAAGAGTGAGCATAATTAAAGGGGAGGGAATTGTGAGAAACAATAGCTCTGTCTTTTCTGTCAAACAAGAGTGCCTTCATATTGGACTCTAGTCTACCCTAGGCAGCCCTTCCAAACACACCAAATTACTAGAACTGCCTGCTCAGTTTAGACTCCAGAAACACAGCTAACAGCTAAAGATAACTTATCAATACCCAAGGACTGCCAGGGATATAGCTCAGTGGCTTAAGCGCTTGCCTGGCAAGCACAAAGTTCAGTTTGATTCCTGGTACCAAAAAAATAAAAAAATAAATAAGGAATACCCAAGGACTTTCAATGCCCCCTACCCCCGCCCTCCCCTCCCTTAACAATCCTGCTCAGCAATCCCTCACACTGCTTAAACTAGCCAGTCGGGATAGACTGTAAACCTTCAACCCAACCAATGGGGAAAAAGGTCAGCTGCTTCTCCAGCTTCACCTGCACTTTGTCCTGTGTATTTGTTACTCCTCTGCTGGGGTGTGCTTGTGCCCTTTTGCAAAAGTAAAAAGCCTTGTCATAAAAGAAAAAAAAAAAAGACTACATCCTAGCCAGATGTGGGGGAGGCACACCTATCATCGAGCATTCTAGAAGACTGAAGCAGCAGGACTACAATTTTGAACCTGGACAACTTAGTGACTTAGAAAGACCCTGTTTCAGAATTTATAATTTGTTTTTAAAAAAGTAGGGATATAGCTTAGTGTGAAGGTCCTATGTTCAATCCCTAGTACTAAAAAATAAAAAGGTCCTGAAACCTACAACAGATGACATTATTTCCCTTGTACCTCACTGCACACTACTTAAACTCAAGCACAATGGGGCAAAGGAGCACAAGAGAACCTCAGTGTGGCTACAGACAAAGTGTGATCGACCCAGGACAGGAAAAGGTTTCTGATTGGAGGCTACGCTCTATAAGCACCACGGATGCTAGGTCCTGGACTCCAACCCCTCAGGAAACAGAGCAGCCAGGAAAAACAGGCCCCTCCCACCCTCACCCTCAGCCCAGGGCTGCTTCCCACCACCCAGCCCAGCCAGGGCAAGGACACCTACCAAGGAAGGCCACATTCACAGCATTAGGCCTGGGAGGGCACAAGATGGACACAGCTGTGATGACCCCCAGGGTGCCCTCTGACCCGATGAACAGCTGCTTCAGGTCATAGCCGGTGTTGTCCTTTCTCAGGGAGGTCAGGCAGTCCAAGACAGTGCCATCAGCCAGGACCTGGCAGGGAGAAGACACAGGCCTTCACACTTGCCAGTTCCAACGTCCGCCTTTGCACTTCTCCAGACTCCACACTGAGGGTAGCACCTCAACCCACAGCACCCTCCCACGCCACCCACAGCAGGAGCCCCCACCTGCTCCAGAAACAAAGTGACCCCAAGAGTCAGCTGGCTAGATAAAGGAAGGATTTTTCTTCCTGTTTGGAGCAAGATTCCCCCAACCTTACCATCACCACACATCCGAGAAGCTCATTGTCCAGCTGCTGGAGGAAGGCCTGCCTGAAGAGGGGATAATACTTGGGGAACACACTTGGGATGAACATACCTGAGGAAGCAGGGGGAGCACACCTGGGGAACACTCCTGGATGAGCACAGCTAGGGGAACACATCTGGGGCATATATCTGGGGGAGCACACCTGAGGAACATACCTGGGATAAACACACCTGGGAGAGCACACTTGGGGAACACACCTAGGGAACATACCTAGAGAAGCACACCTAGGGAGCACACCTGGGAAGTACATCTGGGGGAACACACCTGGGAGCACACCTGAAGTAGTACTGCAGTGGGGTTCCCCCTACACTGGGACCCATTTTCCCTATAAGCCTTGTGGTCCTTGGACTTTGAGCCTCAAGTTTGCTGGCTGGTTCTTTGAGTCTGAGGCTCACTGACAGCTTGGCAACAAGAGAAGGCAATGTACCATGAAAATAAACAGCAGCCATCAGAAAACAAAGCTACTAGGATGTCGTAATTTCCAGGATAAACATGGTTTTGCCTTTATATTCCACCTGAGTAAACAGGACAAAAGCCCCGCCCTTCAGAAACTGCAGTGTGTGATACTCAGGACTGAGTAGATTCTGGGGAACAAGCTGGCGCTGGTGGCCCTAGCTAAGCCAGCTCTGACCATGACTGAGAGGCCCAACCCAGGAAGAACACTGCAGTGCTGCTTCCCCTGGTGGCTCCTCATGTGGATGCGCCATCTGTGGCATGAGAAGCAGAGCAGACTTCCCTGAGTGGTGTGTGGAGCCCAGGGGCTGGCACAATGGGACCTCTGATCTGGGTTATGGCCCAGATCCCAAGGTGGCCTCCCCCATATATGCCATCACCTGGGGCCTGAAAAAGCAGCCTGCAGGACCTCCACAGCTCGGCCCAAATTGGTACCAGCTCACCACTTCCAGGCCCAGGACAGTCCCACGCAGCGAGCCATAGCGCAGGAACCGCATACCACCCGCATTGGTCGCCACATTGCCCCCGATGTGGCAGCTGCCCTTGGCTCCCAAGTCCAGTGGCATGATGAAGCCCCGCTCCTGCACATAGTGGTTCAGCTGCTCCAGCACACAACCCGCCTGGCAGACTAGGATTCCTGTGGAGAGCAAAAGTGCTGCCACAGCCCATGGCTCCTGGGGCACACAAGAACAGTCACAGCTGGGAGTCCAGCCCCAACACCCTGCAGATGCAAACCATCCAGAAGGGGTGCCCAGGGTAGAGCAGAGCTGAGGAAGAGGTCTCCCCTTCTACCCTGCCCAGCCTCTAAGTCACCTCTGAAGAAGAAAAACTAAGAAGGCAAAAGTGGAGAAAAACCACACATGCCCTCACATACATGCACACATTCACACTGATGGAGTGAGAAGATCGCTACAAAGCAGTGTCCTCCACTGGGACTCGTTCTACAACCTCTCTGATGATGTCTGGGTACTTACTGGTATGGGCACTACTGGCATCTAGTGGAGGGACTCTGGAGCTGCTGCTCAGCACCCTAACAGTCACAGCACCCAGCCACAAAGACAGACCTGGGCCAAGTGCCCCAGGGGCAGTGATGGTGCTGCTGGGTCACCACACCATGGGAAAGGTCGCTGTGGCCACAATGTGTCAGAGTCTAAGGGGACCAGAGTGACAAGCGGTCAACTCCAGCTGCCATTCCTTGCCAGCTTGGGACGTGCACACTCGCTTGCCTAACCACAGTCCAGGTGGCTGACAAGGAAGGACAACCCTGACCAGCAGAGGGTTAGACAGGGGTGCCCAGTGGGCAGCACAGGCTTACCAGACACGTCATGGAAGCTGATGACCTGGTTCATGAGGGCAGTGGATAGGATGATCTCATCAAAGACGGGGACACTGCCCCCCACCAGGCCTGTGTTCCCCCCCTGCGGGTTCACAGCCAGGTTCCTCTGGTGACAGTGCCTGAGATAAGGAGGGGCATCAGGCCAGCATCTCTACTCCAAGGCCACTGTCCCTGAAGGTCATACCATGGGACCAACACCTGCCCCCTCAAATCTGGTCCCTGTCCTCAGCCTCCCCAAAGCTCCTCCCACCACAGTCATGGGAAAGTAAGGAAGGCAACATTTTCCATGAAATTGCACAGGCCCTGTGCCTGACACCTTCTCCAACCACAGTGGGGCAGTGAGGAGTGAGAGGGACTCCTAAGAACCCAGCAAGTTCCCACAGTGCCCACACCTCATCACCTTCACTCCTATTAGTCCTTCTGCTACTGTGTCCCCACATCCCTGACCCACAGCCCCAGACCATGCCTTGTGGTCAGCAAGGGCATCTCTTCTCCACCTAGGCCCACCCTGCAAAAACCTAAAGTGAGGATTCCAGTAGGGAGGGGCTTGGGGAAGGGAGTGCACAAAGTGGACCCCAGAAGGCAGCATGTTGTAGGGATAATGCTGCAAGTGTGACCCTGTGACCACGCCACGTATCCCCACCTGGGATGCCACACTCAGTGTTACCTGAGGATGCAGGACACCTCCTCCGTGGTCCGGGGCCTCAGCAGCACCTTGCTACATCCTGGGACAGAAAACAGCACATCAGCTGGTACAGGGAAGAGATCTGGATATGCCTGTCTGCGCTCATGGAAAAAGATGATCTCTCCAAGCACCTTCTCTTCCCAAGGGGGTAACCCCCAAATCACATCTGTCAGGCCCTACACGCTCAAAGACAAGACAGGAAGAGAAAGGTGGGGCCCAGTGATATGCTGGGCAGGAAACTGTTCTGGCCACAGGGGTCAGCATGTAGTATCACTGCAGAGATCCTACCATCCTCCACTTCCACTGGGGCGAAGATGGCCAGGGCCATGCTGAGGGATATCCAACAGCCTTCTCTACCACAAAGTCACTGAGTATCCCTCTGAGACTCTGAACACCCTGCTGCTCCTCAAATTGCCACTTGATGACTTTAGGACATGTTGATCATCCTCACAAATCAGCTACTACAACAGCTGCCAGGTAGTGATTTCTAATCAATCCACCACCATGATGCATTCACTTGGCCATCCACCCATGCACATGAGGGGGGCTCACAGAGTCCTCTTGCACACACTGCCTTTTCCACCTCATGCCAGACATGGTAGGTGGCAGACCCACTAAGCTTGTGCTTAACCACTGCCTCCTGAGATAGCCGGGTTTCCCTCAGTCGTGTTGGCTTCTTCAAGACCCAAGGTGGCAGCAGGAACTCTTGGGAGAAGCTGTCATCGCTCTTTCTGCAACCTAAGAATCAAGCACTACACAGTTCCTACCTTACTTTCTGACTCTGAAAGACACAAATTTTCTTTTCACCTATGTGAGGACTTTTGCTGAGTGGGCCGTGCTGCACTGGGGATATCAGCCTGAGACAAATGTCTGTGGCTTTATCATCCTGCATATGTTCAGAGATGGGAACTTCCTGGCAAACCCTAAGCCCCTCACATAGGAAACATCCTACAGGTCCCTTGAGTCTTCCTATCATAGACAGAGAAGACCAGACAGGATTCATACTCTCAGGACCTCAGCTAACTCCAATGGGAAGACAATAACAACAGCCTCCAGATGCCCCAGCATGCAGACAGTGCCAGCTCCACAGACCACAGGGCAGGAGGGAGGAAGTCAAGAGCACACATGCTGGAAAATACCGAAAGCCAGGCCAGAAGTGACTGCCCCAAACATCCAGGGCAGAATAAAATGGCCATATGCCACCCCCACCCACAGGCTGCCTCATCTTCCAGGTCACCTGCATTGGTGACAACCAAAAAGTGCCCCTCCCCAACATTTCAAAGGATCTTGTCCCCCAGGAGCACCAGTCTAACCAGCCTAGCCTGAACAACTTAGTAACTTAGTGAGACCCTCTCTCAAAACAAAAAATAGAAAAATGGTTGGAGATTACTATGATTTATATCTAAAATGTTTCCCAAATCCTCCTGCACTCCCTGGTGGGGTTTAGGGTGGTAACTGGTTCCTGGGTATGTAATACTGGATCATGGGAGTGTGGTGCTGGGTTAGTCCGATTGGTTTAATATAGTTCGGAGTACAGATGCTGGACTTACTAAAGAGGGAAGACCCATTCTGGGTGTGGGTAGCACTATGCAATAGGCTTATAGCCTGGATGCAATAAAGGGGCAGGAAAAAGGAAGCATGCACCCCTCTCATGCTTCCCTGCCTTGGAGCCAGTTGACTATGGGCTTAAACCTCTACAAAGGGTGAGCTAAAATAAACCTTTCCTCTTCAAACTTGCAGGTGTCAGGTACTTTGTCTCAGCAACAAGAAAAGTAACTAAGGCAAGGATATCATTCAATGCAATGGTTCAATTCCAAGTACCATAAAAGGAGAAAAGAAAAGGTTGTATGTAATGATCTGTACCTTAGTGTCCCAAAACAGCCTCACACCCTCACAGGTGGGGACTTTGAAGGTGACTGGATTATGAGGACTCACAGCTGACTACCTGTTAGGTGGTGGGGCCTGGTTGGAAGAGGCAAGTCACTGAGGGCGTGGCCTAGGAGAGCTTCTCTCTCTCCCCAGCTCCTCCCTTCTCACCCCCTCTGCTTCCTGGACATCATAAACCAAAACAAACCTCTACTCCTTTAAATTCTGGGTATCGGATATTGTGTCTCAGCAACAAGGAAAGTGACTAGGAGAGATTTTGGTACCAAGAGTGAGGTTATTTCCAGGACAAGAGTACCTGACCATATGGTTTAGAAGCCTTTGGAACTTGCTTGGGAAAAAGCATGAAAAGGTTTGATGTAGGCTACTAAAACCTGGAATACTGTGAGGCCAGACCGATGGGAGATTCTGGTCCAAGCTCATAAGACAAGAATGCTGACAGAAATACAGCAGGTAAAGACCAGGCTCAGGAGCTTTTAGTTGGGGACAAGGACACCATTGGAAGTTGGACTCCAGGCCATGTGTGTTATGCTCTGGAAGAAAATTTGTCTTCTTGCCCATGTCCAGAGACATTGTAGAAGAATGAGCCTAAGGGCAGTGGACTGATTAATCTGGCAGAAGAAATTTCAAGGCAGTCTAATATTGAAGTGGTGGCATGGCTACTGTTGGGGGCTTTTAGTCACCAGCACCTTGAGAATCAAAAGCAAACAGCTCACTAAAACAACTGTAAAAGTTTTGAATTTTCTCAGGAAGGAAGCACCATTATGGCCTACAAAGAAGTACGGAACTTGGCTGCTGAAAAGATTACTTACTATTAAAAAAAACCAAGTCCTGGGGGTGGGGAGCAGGAAGGGAAGGATCCAGTTGCCCCTTTCCCTGGCCCACACAGAGGCTGTGGGGTGAGGGCCCACAGGGACCCCTCTGCGCACTGGGGGGCAAAGAGACTTCACACTTGTCCGCTCACTCCCAGGCTGGCTTCTGGGTGCAGCTAGCGATCCTCGATAACTGATGGGGAAGGGAAAGGTTCTTTAAGGAAACTTTCACAAAAATCAAAATTCAAGAGGATTAAGGAAGCCGCAGGAGCCAGGCGTGGTGGCACACGCCTATAATCCCAGCACTAGGGAGGCTGAGGCAGGAGGATCGTTGTAAGTTTGAGACCAGCCAGTACTACAAAGTGAGCTCAAGGCCAGCCTGAACTGCATAGGGAGACCCTGTCTCAAAAAAAAGACAAAAAAAAAAAAAAAAAAAAAGGAAGCCCCAGGAAGCCCAGAGACCTGCCCGTAGCAGCACCCATGGGGACAGAGACCAGCTTGCCTGGGCACCCTGAACACTTGGGCAGCTTCAACCTGTGAGCCCCCATGAAGGGAAATAAGAAAATCAGAAGGGTGCACAGGTCTTAATTACAAATAGCAGAATGGGAAATAAATACCCTTAAGATGGTTCTACTTTAAAACAAAAAAATAAAATAAAATAAAATAAAATAAAACAAGTACTTTGGAACAGGACAATAGAAAAGATGGCCTGAAGGATTGCAAGAGCCAGCAGGACTCCACCCTTTGCAGCTCCAAACTGCGAAGGTGAAATGAAAGATTTTGCTTTGAGAAGAGGGTCCCAGGGCATCATGCTTGAGAAAGGCCACGTAGAGAATTTACTCTCTACGATTTGGTTCATAATACTTGACCATCCAGGCACTCAGAGACCCCTCCAGCCATGATACAAGGAAAACCAGTTATTGTTCCAACTGGCAGCAGATCTTCGCATTATTCACATGATACTGCAAGAGTTGTAGACTCAGTGAGGCTTCCACCCAGATTTCAGAGGAAAGCCTGGGAGGCCAGGCAGTGTGCCTCTCAGAGACCATTCATAAAGCTGTGTGAAGCTGAAAATGCAATACAGACCCCAGAAAGCTCAAATGTCTGAGGAAAACTGCGAAGAGTGACCAAAGCCACTCCAAGAAAAGTCACTGAGTTCTACAAGAACCAGCAATGCCATAGGGGCAGAGACCCAAACCATTTAGAGTTCACATCTCACCATAGCTTTCTCCAGATACTAGACACAGAACTATGGGATTTAATGTTTGCCCTGCTGGGTTTCAGTCTCACTTTGGTCCCATTCCTTTCTATCTCCCATTCCTCCCTTTTGGGATGGAAATGTTTATCCTGTGCCGCTGTATGTCAGCAGTATTCATCTTTCTTTTTTATTTTTACAGGGGTTCACAGCTAACAGCTTGCCTTGAGCAGCAGAGAAGACTTTGGACTTGGACTTCTCAGCAATGCCAGAACTGTTAGGACTCTGGCAGCTCTGAGATGGACAAAATGCACTTTGCATAAAGAGATGTGTGGGACGCTTTTAGAGGCAAAGGGTGGAATGTTATGGTTTATTTATCTAGATGTCCCCCAAGAGCCTCATGTGCTCATAGGTAGGGCTTTTGGAAGGTGAATGGGTTATGCGTGGTTATCGCTAACTTGCTGTTAGGAGGTGAGGCCTGACTGGAAGAGGGGTGTGGCCCTGGAAGGGTTTATTTCCCTCCGCAGCCCTTCCCTTCTTACTCTGTTTCCTGGGCATCATGATATGAGCAGCTCCCCTCCACCAGGCCGCCCTGCCTTGGGGCCAGTTAACTGTGTGGACTGAGACCTCTACACACTGGAAGCCGAAATAAACCTCTTCCTTTAAGTAGCAGGCGTCAGGCACTACTTTTCAATGACCAGGAACGTGACCAACAGTGCAGCTTCAGGACACAGTCAAAGTAATTCAAAGTTATAATGTACTTTTTATCCTTCTAGAAAACTCCTTAAAAAAAAATCTAAGTGTCTTAAAGGCGTAATACAGATATAAATGGGCCCTTTCCTAGTTTTCTAACTATAAATACGGCTATTACCTTTCACTAACAAATTAAGCCCACCTTTCGATAGATTAATAAATTCCACAGATTTCCGCCCCAACAAATACATAATCTCTGCCATTCTACAGACCATAATGCTTCTTACCCTAGAATGCCTACACTCTCTTCTGTTGGACAGAAAGTTAGGAGGCAGCTGGCTGGACATTACATGAAAAGCAAAAAACTGATGTTTTCTTTTTCCTCTTAGCATAGATAGAATCCAAGTAAGTTTATGGTTTAAAACTTTGGCCCAAGAGAATGTCAGCTCCTTTGAACATGTTAATAAGGTCCAGCGTCCATACAAAGTCCAACAAGGGTGAAGGGTTAGAAAAACCTCAAGGCCTCAAACAAACTCAGTGAAACTTTCCACCTAAGGAATGGACAGGATACGCTTCCTCTCTGAAAGTGCTCTAACAGCACATTAAGGCCACATTTTCACAGGTTTCTACCCGCCTCCCAAGAGAAGGGTGTCTCCAGTTCCAAAGCTTCTCATTTCTCTGAATGCCCACACCCTACTCTACTGTGTATTTTAAACTTTTGCCTAATAAATCCTTTGTGTCTCTTACTAACCAGACCTGAAAATTCTTTCTCCACAATTTCCATGAGAAATTTACATTAGGATATCCCCTGAAGCCCCATTTAGTCCTATAAATGTAACCTGAGCCCTATTTCAATGTAAATGCCATCTTGGCGCTTGCCCGTCTTCCTGCTTGAAAGTGTATGAGCTCTCTGAATCACTCTGAAAATCCATCACTTTGCAGTAAACTTTACCTATACTCTATGCAGCTGCCTGTGTGTATTGCTGAAATATTTTGTCAAAGACACCAAAAGCCCAAGAGCAGCATCACCAATCCCTTGTGGTATTAGGACCCAGTTTCCTGGTAATATTTCTGTGTACTTCTTTCTGCCTACTAAATCTATCTACACCTCTCATGACAAGTCTGGCAGCTGTTTCCCAAGTCTGCCAATTCTTTTCCATGAGAAATCAACAATCTATTCTGTGGGTGGGGGTGGCTGAGGTCCCTACCTCCTCTTTGGGGAGGGACTACCTTGGAGAGAATTATTCTGGTGGAAATAATTAAGATCTTGAAGCCAGGCATGATGGTGCATGCCTGTAACCCCAGGACTCTGAAAGGCTGAGGTAGAAGGATCCCAAATTTGAACCCAGCTTGGGCAATTTAGCAACTTAGTGAGACCCTATTGAAGTAGGATTAAAAAAAAAAAAAAAAAAAGTAAAGGTAAGTAAAAAGGAGACAAGGCAAACCATATTTTTAAAAACTGTACTTTTGGGGCCAGAGATATACCTCAGCAGTGCAGTGCCTGCCTGACAAGCTTGAGGTCCTCAGTTCTATTCCCGGCAATACTCCCCCCAAAATTGTACTTTTAAGAAGACTGCAACTTCCAGAACACAAAGTTATGCAAGCTTATCCGTATCAGCATTTCACAGGTTAATTCAGCTTTTTTCCTTCCAGACCTATCACATGCCAAATTCAAAAGTCCATAATTGGCTTAATTTAAAAAATGAAGAGTAGAAACCTAACCTTAACATAAAGGAACAGGTTGAGATAATTTAAAGAATACTTAAATTATCCATCCTATATTCTTAAAAAAAAACCTGAGGTCATACTTTCACCTGTCCAACAGGCCATTACCCTTCTGCAAGGTGGGCCACATTTTCACAGGTTTCTACCCGCCTCCCAAGAGAAGCGTGTCTCCAGTTCCAAAGCTTCTCATTTCTCTGAATGCCCACACCCTACTCTACTGTGTATTTTAAACTTTTGCCTAATAAATCCTTTGTGTCTCTTACTAACCAGACCTGAAAATTCTTTCTCCACAATGACAGTCAGTGAACCTGCACACTTATTCTGCAGGTAGGGCAGGTCTACCTTTCTTATCTCTGCTTTCCCAACCCCCTCCAGACCCTGTCCAGTGGCACTGTCTCACAATAAAAAATAAAAGGGATGGGGATGTGTACAGCTCAGTGTAAAGCCCCTAAGTTCAATCCTTACGGGGGAAAAATCTTGAGATGCTCATCCTAGGTGGACCCTAAGCCCAATGACAAGGTCTCTATAAGACACAGAAGAGGAAAGGTGGATGGAGCAGGCAGCGGCTGGTGTGGTGCCACCAGGAGTCTGGGATATCTTGGGCCCCAGGAGCTGGACAGGCAGAAAGGCTCCTCGCCAGTGGCCTGGAGGGCACAGCCATGCAGACACCTGCCTCCAGAATTCAGAGCGGGAGCTTCATCAGTTCTTTGGTTACAGCAATCCCGGACACTAGGACAGGAGCTGGGAAAAGCACAGAGCGGTTCACAACCCTGCAGGCAGCTAGGGAACCATGTCACGTCTTCATTTGCAGATGTCACACACGACCTGTAAACTTGGCCACATTTTATTCTCAAACTTCAGGTCTCTCCCCACAAGGCTTGTCCCCAAACGCATGAGAGGGCACAGGGACAGTGAAGCCATTTCCTGGCCCCACGCTCCTCACTCCACCCGTCCACTCCCCAGAGCCCTGACTCACCCCGGACACTCTTCAGCCAGTCCACGTTGGCCACCTCCAGCTCCTCCGGGTCTGTGATGACCCTGCCCGGGATGATGCGTTCGAAGGCGGCCAGGTCCTCCTCAGACACCACAGAGAAGGGCAGCCGCTGCACAGGGTAGCGCTCGGAGGTAAGCATCACTCCGGGGACACGGGGGACCGTGGAGCAGCAGCCTCTGAAGGCCAGAGGGCGGCACATTCTCCAGGGGAACCTCGGCCACCTCTGCTGTCCCACCGAGGCCCCAAGAGCGCAGGTTGTCCTCCGCCACGCTGGAGTGGCCTGGAAGATCCATGCGGACCATCTGGGCACCTGACGGGGCACCATTGCCTCTGCCCTGCGAAGGGATTGGACCTGCGATTCAGCAGCACGGTGGAGCCCCGCAAGCCCCTCCCAGCCCCAGCACACAGCTTCGCCGCCGGGAGGGTCGGGCAGGACGGCCTGAGGGGCGGCGCTCACTGCCGATGCACGCAGGGGCCCCGGGGCGCGCTCTTCACAGCTTTTAAAAATAACCTTTCGGGGCTGGGGATTTAGCTCAGCGGCAAAAGCGCCTGCCTGGCATGCAGAAGGTCCTGAGTTTGGTTCCCAGTACCGGAGAAAACAAAACAAACAAAATAATAATAATAATAATAATAATAATAATAATAATAATAATAACCTTTTAAGACGCTAAAAGGAAAACGAAGGTACCACCGAATTACACACTAAAAGAGGGCCGAAAGGGCGAGTTTCATGTTCTGCGTATATTATGTCACAAGTTTAAAGAATGTCTGCATAGTCAAAATCTTTTCCTAGCCAGGCGAGATGGCGCACGCCTGTAATCCCAGCACTTTGGGAGGCCGGCACAGGAGGACAACACGTTCTTCGCTAATGTGAGCGAGCGACCTAGCAAGACCCTGTCTCACAGGTGAGCGCAGGAGGGAGCGACTCGCACCAGCGAGGTCAGGCCACCCTCAGGGCAACAACCGCGAGGCGCAGCTCCTCCCAACGCAGGCACGGCCCTCCCTGCGCTCAGGGCGCCTGCGCGAGCGCCCGCGCCTGCGCCTCATCCCGCCGCGCGTGTCTCGCTGGCGGTGCATGAGCAGCACCCTGCGCCTCCGGGTGACCCGGCCACGAACCTGCGCGTGCGATCAGCGCACAAGGTCAGAAACTGACGGACCCGGCAGTCAGGAACCACAGTCACCCGGGCGTGCAAACGCACCCGGCCGCACCTCTGGCTACTTTCCGGGCCCAGTCAGCGTGACGCACCATCCAAGACGCACAGAGACGGGAGGGACAGGGCGGAGCGGCGCCTGCGCACTGACTCCTTCCCGCCCGGGCAGAGCGCGCCCGGGCCCCGCCCACCATGAGTGCCCGGAGTACCGAAGCACCTGGATCAGAGGTTCAACTCCACCCAACAGGCTTCCCACCGCCGCCTGTCTACAACCTGTCCCTACCCGGCCCCACATGTCCACCAGCCAGGGCCAAGCTGGTAAAGCCCACTCCCGCACCCTACTGTGGACCCCTTCTCCTAGGACCCTCTGTCTCCCCTGGGTCTCTATCTCCCCTGGGTCTCTCCCCAAGGGTCTCCATCTGCTCTAGGATTCTTGGCTCCCTCAGGTTCTGTCCATTATGCTGATGTCCCTTGGGGAGCCAAAGTGACAAGATCGTCTCCGGGCAAAGGCCCAGGAGCTGGGGCTCACGTGGAACCTCAAGGGACTAGGGGATAGCACTGTCCTTAGAGGCCAGGCCAGTTCCACGGAGTGCCCCTCCCAAACCCCTGAAGCCATCCACACAGCCACTCCTCAGCAGCTGCACCCCAGCTCCACAGGGCGCCACCCCGCTGTGGCTACTCCAAGATACTAGGCTGGCTGAGACTCCCCTGGGAGGTTCTGCCCCTCCCAGGCCTGTCCAGTTATTCAGAGGCCTCTGCTCTCCCTTTGGCTTTCAGCCTCCACAACTTAATCCTTAGAGTACAACGGCTCCTACCATCCTGGGTGACAGTACCTGGTGTCCAGAGTAGGGCATATCTTTGTGCAGACTCCCATCACCAGTCCCTATTCTTCCTGGCTCACCCTATTCTGTTGTCTCAGGGAAAAAAGATGAGGGCATTCTGTGGCTAGCAGATGGTTTAAGGGGAGCACTTGCTTAGCATGGAAGAAGTCCTGGTTTGATCCCCAGCACCACACAAACACAAATTTTGGATCTCTGAACCAGATTGGGACAGAGAGCAGCAGGAGAGCTACCAAAGCCTCGGGCAGACTGTGGCAGTGCAGTCACTTTGCAAAGGAAACTAGCAGGTTCTGGTGTCCCTGCAAACTGGCATGGAGAAAATGACATGACACGTTAGCAGCTGCATCCATGTGCCAAGAGAGCGCTGCCCTGTCTAGAGTCACAGGCGCAAGTGGAGACACTATCCATACCTTCAACAGACTGCACCCCTGGGGTCTGCCCACCTCCTGCAGAGGTTAGGTCAGGTGGGTGTGTCAAGCACGTCACCCTGGCATCTTCTACATCAAGGACTCCTACTCAGGATATATCAGAGAGGTCCACACAGTCCTCTCCCACAGGCCACATGGGAGTTCTATGGCTGTCAAGGATGCCTATGTCTAGCTGATGTGGTGGCACAGGCCTGTCATCTCAGCACTTGGGAGCTGGAACAGGAGAATTTCAAGTTTGAGGACATCCTGGAATACATAGTAAGACCCTATCCTAATAAATAATAAATGAGAGCCGGGCATGGTGGCATATGCCTGTAATCCCAGCACTTGGGAGGCTAAGGCAGGAGGATTGTTTTGAGTTCGAGGCCAGCCTAGGCTACAAAGTGAGCTCAATGCTAGCCTGAACTGCATAGCAAGACTGCCTCAAAAAGCCAATAAATAAATAAATAAATAAGAGAGCAAGAGTGTAAGAGAGAGAAATGTCTGTGTGTTACACCCAGGCAAGAGGATACGAAGGTATATATCTCAAAGGCTGTTCACCACCTGACCACCACGACCCCAGCTCTGACATCTCCAGAGCCAGTAATGACTACTGCCCATCTTATAGAAGAGCACGAGCTGTTCCTTCCCAGGGCACACACCTGGAAAGTGGCTGCAGGTGTCCTGGGGTGTGCGTGCAAGATACAAACATGCAGTAGTGTGGTAGGTCCCACCTCTCCCGACCCCACCTCCACTTGCAGGAGTCTCAGCTGACTAGTGGATGAGAGGATGCAACGCATCTCATTTTTGCTGTTTTGGTTTTTTGAGGCAGGGTCTCACTATGCAGTTCAGGCTGGCCTTGAGCTCACTCTGTAGCCCAGGCTGGTCTCGCAAGGATCCTCCTGCCTCAGCCTCCCTAGTGCTGGGATTACAGGCGTGCGCCACCATGCCTGGCGCAAGGCATCTCAGTACAACTAAGCTGTTTGTGGTGTCAGCACTGCTCAAGGTGAGATGTCCCAAGTCCCACTCAACTTGCTTCGTTTGTTTCCTCCTCCAAAGTGTTTTTATTTTTTGTGGTAGAGGCTTGAACCCAGGGGCCTGCACACTAGACAAGTGCCACTGAGCTACAGCCCTACTCTCTCCCTCCAAGTTCTTTCATGGATGCCTGAACCCCAATGCGACTATATCTTAGGACAGAGCCTACATGGAGGAAATTAAGTGTGGTCCTACAATTGGGGCACGGCAATCCCTTTGCCATGCAAGCACACCATGAGAAGGCAGCTGAACACATGCCAAAGGAAAGCCCAGCAGGCAGCAAACCAAGGCTTCCAAGCTCCAGAACTGTGAAAAAGCAGCTGTTACACCTTGTCCAGGCAATGGCCCAGTATTCCTTCAGAGCGACCAAGCATTCCCAGCATTAACCATATGCACATATCCTCTGGGAGCCTGGGAGCCACTTCTGAAATGGCCCACAGTGGAGCTCGGCGCTGCCCACTGACCTTCCTGAGCACCCAACTGAGGCAAGGCCTAGGGCCCAGTCAGCCTGTGCCCATGAAGTCCCTGAACAACTGTCCTCTCGTCAGCTCCTGGGTCTCCAAAGCTGATGTGAGGCACAAGTGTCACTTCAGCAGAACACAGGAAGGCCACACCTGTTTCCCACAATGATGCTCTTCAGATGTTTGTTCCAAAAAATACTTTATTTATTAAACAATATATCCATAATCTATAACATGATCCAAAAATACAGATATACATCTTTACATTATTTAATAAAAAGATTTACAATAGTATATTTCCTTTACAAAGGGGTCAGAGATAACAATTCCTTGAAAATAAAACATGACATCCATGTTAAAGCTGCATCATCTTTTTTGGATGAAATATGGTAGAGGACACCACAAAGTACACACCAAGGAGAACTTCACGGACTACTGGGGAGCATCCGCTTAAACTTCCTTCCGGCACAGGTAATCTTGTCACTAAACATCCAGGAAGTCTTTTGTTGTTAATTCCTCCCTCACTGAGTCATGTCATACCCAGGACAAGGCAGACACCTGGCCCCAAGGTCACAAGGGAAGCTGTTCTCTGGACAGTGTCATTGCTCAAGGTCAAGATGGACCCTGCAAGGGCTCCCAGGGACAGGTGAGGAGCGAGTGGTACTTCCCTGCGGCCTGTCAGCCCAGCTGATAATGGTCTCACATTTATAGATCTGGGGGCAGGGCTCAGTTGAACAACCTGTTCTTCAATGTAGCATCCTTTTTCCAAGAAAATGATAGGAATTCCTCCAACTACAGACCGAGAACTAGGAAAGTCATCTGTCCTCCTTGGAGCAAAATATTCTTCACTTACAGGGGGATCCCACACCAGAGAGGATAAACCCACCACAGTGACACGCAGGGTCTCTCAGTCTAAAAACCAGAATTGGGTCCATGGGCACCCAGGGGAGGGCCAGCCTGGCAGGTGTGGGGCTAAAGGCTGTGACTCAAGAGCAAGTCATATGGAGTAGCACTCATATGGCACCAGCCCCCGCTGAGCCAGGCCTATCCCAGGTCCATCCCACTCTCAGAGAGTAGCAACAGCCAGAACAGGCACAATCAGAGTCAAACAACATTCCAGGGAGTGTTCCTGTTCTGATCGTGTTTTCTGTGTTTCTCCCAAACGTAGATGCATGTTGTTTTAATATTGTAACTGGCAAAAATAAACAATAAAACCAGTACAGAAAATTCTGGAAGGTCAAGTCAACACAGACCATGCAGAGTGGCAAGCAGGGTGCACCACATGCAGGTAACTCAAAGGCCTCTCTCCCAGGCAGAGTGCTGCTGGCCTCCAGGACCTCAACAGAAGCGTCATTTGCTAGTGACAGTGGGCGGTGCTTAGCAGAAGGAGCTACCATCAGGCAGTGGAGCTGCCTCACAACAGTAAACAGAAACACATCAAAGCCTTTTCCCCAGAGCCCCGCCACACATACAAAAAGTAACAATGAAGAAAAAAATGCTTCTCCATAATATTTAAACACCTGTGTCAAAAAAAAAAAAGATTATATCATAGCCAGGTATGGTGGTACATGCCTGTAATCTGGGAGGCTGAGGCAAGAGCCCAGCCTGAGCAACTCAGTGAAACTCTGTCCCAAAATCAAAAATTTAAAAAAGAGCTGGGGACAGAGCTCAGCACTCTTTGGGTTCAATCCCCAGTACTGCAACAAACAAACAAAATAACAAAAAAGCACACAAATTAAGTTACAAAATAAAATGCATCTCATTTCAATTTCAGCACTCTGGCTGAGACTGAGCAGCCCTCTTACCCCAAGGCCCGGCTGGGGTACTTAGAAAGCTCCTTCTGGCCTGGGGACCCCACAGGGATGAGCTGGGACCACTGCCGACCATCCACTACCACTCTCACCTGCCCAGCAACCAATACCTGGACAGGATAAGCACCTAAAACTCACTGCCCCGGAGCAGAGCAAGCACAGCCCAGGCTTCCCCCAGAGACGGTACGAGGCCTCTGTTCTGAGAACCACAGGCCTGGACACCCCAGCCACAGGTACTTGCAGGCCTGCTCTCATCTGTGAGTACAGGCTGAACACAGGACACAGCACTGTGCAGGGGCCCTGCACAAGCACTTTCTGCCATCTCCTCTTCTCGGTGGAACACCAGAATGAGGAAGAGACATTACCCAGGTGGCCACCACAGAAAACAAGTGCATGCCTCTGCTGAGGACAGGAGCACTCTTCCATGGGTTCTTTGGCACTGTGGGCAGTGAGTATGCAAGGGGATCTCAGGGTGCACATGTCTCACAGGCCACACTGAAGAAACTGTCACAATGCACCTCATCAGACCAAATGTGTGCATGTTCCCCAACTCCAACAAAGACACCTCAACACCGGTTTGGAAAACAGTAGCTAAACAATAGCATACATACTCTGGATTCCTTGCTTCAGTCCAGAGCCGTTTCCAAACACAGCAGTCACACAGCAGGCCGCAGGACTGCGATCCCCTCAGGGTGAGCTGCAGGCCTGGCAGTGGGCATTATGAGGTCCAAAGTCAGCCCCCTGGAGACAGGATCACATTACAGACACAAAGACCCACGATCTTCATGCAATTATACTAATTTCATCTTCACAGTAAAAATATCTGGGATTCCCAGAGGAACAGAAGGAACGTCAGCTGGCTGCCACGCCACCGTGTGGTGGTGCTGATCATAGTAAACGACAGCCTGGGCCAACAGGAGCACTTACTCTGGCGAAGCTTGGTGGGCCAGAGTCCATGCGAAAGAGGCAGTGCACAGCGGGGCAGGGCCACTTCCTCCCAGGAGAGCCAGCCCAGCCAGGACGGCAGCAGTGGCCTCAGCAAGGGCCAAGTCTAATGGTCAGGTTGGCTCAGGGGTGACAAGTGTGCTCACAAGAGGTCTGTGCATGGTTCCAGAGAACTGCAGAGGACACCCCAGTGGCAGAGTGGTGGCAGTGTACCAGGTTAGAATGTGCACGGTGCCTGGCAGCCCAAGCTCACAAGTGCCCACAGGGCAGTGGTTTCTTGTTTGTTTTAGGAAATATCCAGAATTACAACTGGCCACTGAGTTCTTAAATATCAGTCAAAACAAGGTAGTTTTAAAAATGAAAGAAAATATTGCAACACGAATGAAGGAATATATTAACTTGCTCTTTGATCCAGGCACACAGCCCCCTCCTTACTTTTTCTTCCTCTTTTCTTGAACACACCGTGGGCAGAACCTGGTGGAAAAAGACACAGGAGTCGGCCTCTGCATCCCTCCACCAATGGGGCAACCAGACTCCACCACTTAGTCCAAGACAGGTGGACTCTGGAGAGACAGGGCCAGAGGACAGACACCAACATAGTGGGCATGGCCATCCCACCCAGAAAAGCTGCCCTGCAAGCTGCTGTCCCATGCATGTCCTGAAGGTGACAGACTCACTTTAGCAACATCCTTGCGATCAAGGGGACTGGGCTGGTCTCCCTGGCTAGTTGGGCACTAGGTCACCATGCCACTGTGGAGATGCACCCAGTTGAGCTGGACATGCTGAGAGCTTTGAGCTGAGGTCCCTGGCTCAGCTGAGCTAGGCCCTGAAACCTACATGACTCATAAAGGCCCCTGGTACCCTAGGTTCAGCAAGCTCTGGAGTTGCTCATGACACATGTAGACATTACAAGAACTAGTGCCAAAAAAAACCACAAAAAAAAACAAAAAAACCTAGTACATTCCCTGTGCAGTGGTAGCTTACTAACATCACCTCCAGAGACCTCTGTATGGCAAGGTTTCAACTACAGGGAGCAGGAAGTGCAGGCTTATGGGCATCTATGTCAGCAAGGAGCTCCTGTCTCACTGCCAGGGGAGCTGCCCATTCGCAGTGGTCTATAAAAGGCCACCAGAGGGGTAGGGTGCAGCTCAGTGTACAGCCTTCCTAGCATGTGACTCAGGGGTTCCATCTTCAGCACCACAGACAGGAAAAAAAAGTAAGAGAGAAACCATTGCATCCCCTACTAACTGCGCCTGCACCTACTGTCCTATGGTTCCTGGCATTGAGGGTGGCATCCCCACCTCTCCTCTTGGAGACTCCAGTATCGCCACACATGTGGGGTTAGGTGCTACACAATCACCTGTGCCCCCACAAGGGGGGTCACACCACCATCACTGGGCAGGAGCCCGCTGTGACACAGCACGCACCCCTACTTTCCCTCCATAGTCCTAGCACCAAACACCAGAGGGTAACTCATTCACACTGACCATGAATGGGTGCTCAAAAGCTTCTGGCCACAGTAAGTCAAGGATGCTCCATGCAAGGGGGGCAGTATTCCAACTGCTGCCTTTCAAGGATATGCACCTATTTTTAGGTCAACCAAACCAGGCTTTCATCATGAAATCTCAGGAACACCTTCACCAGGCACCCCTGCCTGCTGAAAGCAAGGCTGGGACAGTGTGTGAAACGCTCACACCATTTTTTAGGTAGAGCCCCTGGCAGGGAGCCACATGCCAAGTGGTGCTCTCCACCTACTCCCTGACCTGCCCGGGGACAAGAACCTGCATTCCTCAACCTCACTTAAGGTGACCTTTACCTCACTGTAGGGCCAGGACGGATGCTCTTCAGGGCTGATGGCCACAAATCCAGACGATAACTGTGCTCTGGGTAAGCAGGAAGGGCCCCTGCAAACTCAACCTGCCCAGGAGCCAGGGCCAGTACTGCAGTGACCCTGTGCACCCAGCCACACCCAGAGCACCAGACAAGCCGCCCACAGCCATGACCAGCCCCTGCCCAGCCATCAAGAGCCTCCTCCGTGGGAGCAGGCACTGGGTGCCCCACAATACCCCCATACTGACCACTTTCCTTTGGGTTTCGTGGTGAGGTCCACACAGGCAAAGTGAAACCATTCGATTGGACACTGTAAAGCAAGGGACAGTATAGTCACACAAGTACTCCGCGCATCAGGTGTGGGGACGGTGGGACACACCTGGCCTCACCATAACCCACAGGACCCAGACTCACATCTGGATTGTCGCAGCCAATCATCTCCCCATAGGACACCTGGTGGCACAGGCAGTAAGTGGGTTCGTTGGGGTCCACAGGCATGTCAAGCACATCAGAGGGGTGCACAGACAGGATAGTATCGGTGAACTCAGACCTGCAAAGGCAGCAAAGATGTCACACGTAGCGGAAGGAGCACTGGCCTCATGCCCGTACACTGACTGTGGGACAAGGACACATCTAGGGATAACACCTTGCAGTGACTCATGATGCCTAAGCTCACTCCAACCTCCTCACGTAGAAGCTCCCAGGGTCTGTTACCGTGGTGCATTTCCAAACAAAACCCCACACCTTTGACCCAACACTGACAGCTATAGGGCCATGCGAGACTATCAGCTAGAGAGCTGTCTCTGGACAATGACAGCCAGGAATGCAACGCAGCCACTGTGAGCACAGACTGCCTAGCCGAGGTTGCTGGCAGGCAGCACTCACCACACAGCACACCTACTCCTGCTCAAGACACAGGATCCTCCAGTCCCAGTCCCTCCACCAACAGGGGGCCCTAGACAAGAGGAGCTATTGCTTGGGGCTGGCCCACCTCAGCCTCCTGTGGGGGCAAGCACTCTTCCTGCCACCAGCTCACCCAGGGTAACCCGCCTGCTCCCACTGCCAACCTGACCCACAAGACCTCTTTCCCGAGAAGGCCAGGGTGTCCTGTGCTCAGGCTACCATGAGCCCCCACAGGCATTTATACCCCAAAATCACAGATCCTAGCAGCTCCTTAAGTCTCAGGAGCCTCTCACCTGCTGGCAGAGGCCACTTCTAGTAAACACCAGCACCACAGTGTAGCCCTACATCACACCATGGGCCAGGTGGCTTTCCACCTGCACTCAGAGGACACTCATAATCCCAGTGCTTGGAAGGGTAAGGCAGGAGGGTTGCAAGTTTGAGTCTACCCTGGGCAATTTAGTGAGACCCTGTCTCAAAATTTATAAAAACCAGAGATGAAAATGCAATTCAGTGCTTCCAGGGTCCAAACCCCAGGCCTAAGAAAGAAAAAGTTACCTAGAAAATCCTACATTATTTGGAAATCAAGACACATAATTGTATACAAACTTTACATAAAGAAAAATCAGAATAAAAAAAAATTTTTTTTTTTTTTGGTTCTTTTCTGGTACCAGGAGTTGAACTCACGACCTTGCGCTTGCCAGTCAGGCACTGTGCCGCTGAGCTAAATCCCCAGCCCCCAGAATAAAATTTTTAAATATTTTAAATGAAATAAAATTAAAACCCAGGTATGGCGTAGTGGTGCAGGTCTACAATCCCAGCTACTGAGAAGGCTGAGGCAGGAGTACTGCTAGTTCAGGGTCGGCATAGGCAACATACTTAGATCCTGTCTCAAAATAAAAAATAAAACAAGGGGCCAGCTGTGGTGGCGCACACCTGTAATCCTCGCACTCAGGAGGCTGAGGCAGGGGGTATCACTGTGAGTTCAAGGCCAGCCTGAAGTACAAAGTGAGACCTTGTCTCAAAAAGACAAAAAATAATAATAATAATAAAATAAAAAATAAATAAAATAAGGGCCAGGGATGTACCTGAGTACTTGCCCAGCATGCACAAGGCCCTGGGTTTAATCCCCAGTGCTACAAAAGAAGGAAGAAAGGAAAAAAAAAAAGGACAGAGGGAGGGAAGGAGAGAAGGCCTGAAAACTTCCAGAACTTAAAAGAAATTGGATGCAGCATGGAATTACACACTGACACTTGGAAGACTTCACTGGACATTAATTTCTCTTAACATCGTCCATTTAGATGGTTCAATGGGGACTGGGGATGTAGCTCAGTGATGCAGCATTGCTGCCATGTGCAAGGCCTCGGGCTTGATCCCCAGCACCACAAAAAAATAGTAATAATAATAATAAAATATAATAAAAGGTTAAATAAAAAAGTTTAGCATGGTGGCACACACCTGTAGCCCAACCTACTCCAGAGATTGAGGCAGGAAGATGGTTCGAGACCAGGAGTTCAATGTTACCCTGGGGAATACAGTAAGACCTTATTTCAAAAAAATAAAATAATGTTAGTTAAAACCAGCAGAAATACAGTGTATAGGAATACACACCTGGGAAACAGGACATTAAAGGAGCCAGAGGAAACCCACTGCAGGTGTGTAGATCATGTTTACGAGGTGCAGGGAGGATGTTAGGATGGGGTGGGGCTCGGGAAGCAGTAGGTCACACAGCAGGGAACAGTCACAGAGTAACTTATTACCCTAGGGTTGTGCTGTGAGGGTTCTGTGTCTGCGTACTACTTGGAAATACAAGGGTGTTGGGGTTCTTTATTGAGTATTCTGGCTGTGAACCCAGCGTGTGCATGGCATGGGTTCCAAACGCTGCACCAAAAAACAAACAGAACAAGTGAATGCCAAGTTTAACGACCAGGACTTTCCTCTGTCTTCTGTGCGTCTGACAAGAAAAGGAGCCCTCAGACCTCTTCCTGTCAGGCACCCACCGAGGCCTACTGACAGGCACCACATTCTGTTTGGTCTAAACATGGCTTCAGCCTGGTGTGGTGGCGCACACCTATAATCCCAGCATTCGGGAGGCTGAGGTAGAAGGATTGCCATGAGTTCAAGGCCAGTCTGGGCTACATAAGCAAGTTCAAGGCCAGCCTATGTTACACAGCAAGACCCTGTCTCAAAAAACCCAAAAATATAAAAAATAAAAATAAATGTCACTTCAGTGATGCAGAGCCACACAACGTTGAGGAGGGCAGCGGAATGCACAAAATAAAATCTCTATGTTCAAGATAAGTGACCTGTACGCTTAACAAGTGTCACACAAGCTAACAGTGAACGGATGCAAAACATCTATTTAAGTGCAAGGTCGTGAGTTCGATTCCGGCTACCGGAAAAAAAACTACAAAAAAAAACAAAAAAAAGATAAAGCCTTGGGGCTGGAGATTTAGCTCAGCGGCACGGCGCTCACCTGGCAAGGACAAGGTCATGAGTTCGATTCCCGGTACTGGAAAAAGGCCAAAAAAAAAGATAAAGCCTGGCAAGTGCGAGGTCTTGAGTTCGATTCGCAATACCCCCCACCCCAAAAAAGAAGGAGGATCACTACGAGTTTGAGACCAGCCTGGACTACAAAGGGAGCTCAAGGCCAGCCTGAACTGCACTGTGAGACCCTGTCTCAAAAAGACTAATAAATAAATAAATAAAACCAAAGATAAAATAATCAACAGATAAGCTAAACCAGGCATGGTGACACACCTGTGATTCCAGCACTCAGAAGGCTGAGGCAGGAAGATTACTTAAGAGTTCAAGCCTTGGCTCTACAGTGAGCTCAAAGCCAGTGAGAATTACATACTGGAACCCTGTCTCAAAAAACCTAAACCAATAAACAAAAATAAACCCAATAGATAAACACAAACTCAGTACTTGAGCATGGCCAGCAACACTGGTGCATCCTCCTGTGACTGTGTGCCACGCAGGGGCAAGAGCAGGGCTTCCACAGTCACGTCACTCTTGGGACACTGGCATCTGCCAGCCACCCTGAGAACAGACAGGCTGCATACACGAAGTCCCAGGCGAAAGCTACAGCAGCTGGTGAGTGCTCCCTGCTCCTTACAACCCCACAGTGTGTGCCAGCACGTTCCCCAGGAGCCAGTGGGTGCCTTACCCTCCTTTATGCTTCTTCTTCTTTGGGGTGTCTTCTTCCGACGTCCTCCGGCCTCGGCCACGGGAGCCTCTTTTCTCTTTCTGACCCCGACCTTCTAAGAAACAGTAACAACCCACGTTATTTCCACAGAACTCACTAAAGCAAGACAGGTCACTCAAACATGGTATTTACCTCCAAGTCCCTGATACATTTGTTAGACAAAATTCCTCAAAATCCCATAGGCAATGGCAGTAAAACAAAGGAAACATTGGCAGACTTGCTTTTCAACCCCCGGCCTCCAGAGCTTTCAAAGTCACTGCCGTCCATCTTGTCCTTCAGGTCTGCCTCAAAGCGAGCCAGGTCTGCATCGAGCCTCCGGATGTGCTTATCCACCTGTGGAGGGACACTCGCAGGTGACTTCACAGGAATGGCAAAGCCACTTGGGAAACCTGCACCACACTGAGGAGCCCCCAGGAGGCACCTGCTGCCCTCTCACTGCATCCTCCCCAGCCCACCCCGGGCATACCACAGAGAGTCTTATTTAGGAAAAAACATGAGCACAGGAAATGATGAGAAATAGAGTTTTGAAGAGTTGTGAACGCATCTGAATAAGGAGTGGAGACATTTGATCATAAGCCCTAACCTAAAATCTGAAAAACATGTAGTCTCCTAAATAAAAGACTAAAAAAGAAAAAAACACAAGAAATTCCCCCCATGGGCCTCTGGAAGAGAAAAGAAACAGAAGACAGCATGGTCAAGAAACAAGATGAGCGCCCCACCACTCACATGGACCTCAGAGCACACAGTCCTGGCTGTCATCAGGGACTTCACAGCTAACCAGACCACAAAACCCAGGCCGCTGGAGGAAGACCAATGCCCCTCCAGGTCTGGAAGTAATCTCTAAACCCAAACTTCACGGGGCCCAGGGAGATCAGCCCACAAACACAGCAGTCTGCTCTATGAGAAGGACCGCCAGGGTAGGGCATACAGGGCATCAAAAGCACAGGGGCAATGGCTTCTCCTTCTCAGGTGCCACCAGATCTCAGGGGTACCATAAGGTAACAGCCTGATGCCACTGGCTGTCATTTGGACAAGTCATTTGGACTCACCAAATGACCAATCCTAGGATTTTATCTAAAGCTTACAAAAACAAAATGCTGCATAACACAACAAAGCCAAGGGGTCAGGGCTGAGGTACAGTTCAGGGGCGGAGTGCTCACCCATCGTAGGTTCCCAGTACTGCAGAATAGAAAGCAAGAACACAAACCAAAACACAGTGACGCCCCAAACAAACAAACAAAAGGGGCCCAGAAAGCCAAACCGCAGGCCAGGTCCTGGGTAAAGGGTCCCTACCGTGGACTCTGCTGGAAGCATCACCAGAAGCTACTCCCGCCCTGATACCATCCCTGTGCCCCCGCCACCACCTCACCATCTCGTAGGTCTGCATGGCCAGCTGCACCTTGTCATCGCTGTACTCCTTGCACTTGCTGTAGGCACTCTGGATCTTCTGCAGGTGCTCCACACGCTGGTCTGGGGACAGAGTCTTCACAGTGGAAATGTACTCTGCTGCCAGCATGTCAATCTCCGCTTTCTTATCTGGCAGAGACACAGGTGAGAAGCTGGTCCCCGCCCAGGACACACCACTTGTCACCGGGGTGGCAGCTGACTCTGCAAGAGGTGGATGAGCACAAGCCCAGGCTGCTGCTATCAGCAGAGGTATTGGCCCAGAACAGGCCCAGTGTAGGCATTGTCCAGAAAATGATCATAGTGCCTACTGTGACTCCTCACCACCATCTGGACACAAAATCCCGTGATCATGCTGCTAGGACCTGGCGCATTACTCTCACGCTCCCAGCCCAAAGACAGGTGGGCACTTGGGGACCAGGAAACACATGGAAAAACACTCATGACCACAAAAAACAGTGGGCCACCCAATGTTCAATCCCCAATAAGGCCACGAAGCAAGCCACATACCTCACCCACAGAGGGCCACCAGCAGCCCACACCACAGCCACACAAAGCTCTATGGGTTAACCTCACAAAAGCACATATCAAAGAACCCTGCTGCACCCTTCCAACCCTGTCTCAAAAAAATAAATAAATAAAAACAGCTGAGGGTGTAGCTCAGGACAAAAGCACCCCTGGGTTTGATCAACAGCACAAGACACAACTTTAAGCTCTTGCTGAGAGGGGGCAGGTACAAAGGACTATCAGCACCTAAGTGTTACAGGACTCAGGGACACAACATGGAAGGCAAACAGCCTGCAGGTGCCAGGCACCATCCATCCACCTAAGAAGCAGAACAGAGGTCTGCCTGGTGGCATCTGCTACCCATCTGTAAGCCTTCCATGGCTCTGCACAGTTTATGAATGAATACCCCATTTCACAACAGGTGGCCCAGTTCCCAAAATGCTCCACCTACAGCACTTTACTGGCAAACACACACCTGGTACAATACACAAGAAGTGTCCCACAGGGAATCACATCATCAAGAACCACAACCTCAGGGAAAACAGAAGATTCCAAACGCTTCTTTCTTTTTTTTTTGATGGGGGGGGTGGGTACCAGAAACTGACACTGAACTATATCCTCAGCCCTCCAAATACTTCTGAACAGGAAAGAAAAAAGATTGAGGATCCAAGTGGCATCAGACTTCCCAAGAGCAGTATGGAAGCTGGAAGTGAGCCCAGCAACGCCATCCACACTGAGAAAGGCCTCATCCGCCTGTACTTCTGTACCCAGATGAATCATTAGTCAAACAAGAGGCTGGACAGACAGGTTTTCAGACATGCAAAATGTATCACGGCAAATTTATCTTTTTAGATACCTGCATTTAGAAAGCTACCAAAAAAGCCGGGAGTGGTGGCACATGCCTGTAATCCCAGCACTTGGGAGGCTGAGGCAGGAGGATCATTGCAAGTTCGAGAACAGCATGGGCTATAAAGTGAGCTCAAGACCAATTTGAACTGCATAGTGAGACCTTGTCTCAAAAAAAAAAAGAAATAAATAAAGAAAGAAAGCTACCAAAACAACAGAGCAAATCAAAACAGGACATTTAGGATCCAGGGAAGAGGCTCCATCTCCACCCAGCTGAAGGGAGGAGGTCTGGGAAGAATCCCAGGACGCCACCGGCAGCACAGCCCAGAGACACCAGAAAGAGGCACAGGCAGAACCCAGGAAGCACAGGCAGACCTGCAGACACCCTGATGACCAGACAGCGCTGAGGAACTCTCAGCAGAACCAGGAAGGCAGTGTGGAAAGCCAGCTGTATAAATGGGGGCCACCAGTAACCCCAAGAGAAACTTTATACTTATTAAGAAAAGCACAGCACGTGTCATTGCCCACCCCACTGACCAGGACCCACCCTCACTGGCCTCATCACAAATTCTAGAAGACCAAAGGCCAAAGTGGAGAGGAGGTGGCATACAAAGGGATATCCTTACTGCCACAATTTTACTTATTTAACTAAATAACATTTGAAACCAACTGGAAGTGTTTTGTTTGCTTATTGTGGAACTCGGCACTGAATCCAGGAAATGCTGAGCTATATCTCCACTCCTTTTTATTTTATTTTGAGACAGGGTTTCACTGAGTTGCCCAGGCTGCCTCAAACTTGTGATCCTAGTGCCTCAGCCTCCTGAGTAGCTGGGATCACAGGTATGCACCACTATGCCCACCTTTGTCTAGAAATAAGAAAGAATAACAAAAACATGTTTAGGAATAGGGAGTTAAGTACCAAGGGGTCAAAAAGTATTCTCCAACTTCTTAAACTACAGGATGACCCTCCATAATCAGAAAGTTCACAACACTCCAAGTCTGAGGCTTTCTGTGTCCCAAGTGGATGACTCTATAGGACAGGTCTCAGTTCCAGACCTCAGAGTATGCAAACTCTGTTTCATTGCACATGATCACTAGCAATGTAGTATCCAGTTACCTTCAGGCTGGTACATGAGGTGTACACAGATGACAAATGGTGTTTAAATTTAGGTCCTGTACCCAAGATAGCTGTTTCTGTATATGCAAACATTCCCAAATTGGAAACCATCAGAAATCTGAAACAACTCTGACCCCAAGTATTTTGGATAAGGATACCCAACCCTCATGCACAGTTTGAAAATAGAAAATTTTGCAAAGGAAAGAAAACACAACAAATATTTGGCTGAAAGGACAATAGCTAAGAAGCTGTGATATCAGTGATTGTGGTTTCAATCCAAGAAACCACACCTGTCTCTACAAGACGTGAGGCCGTGAGGGTAGTGGGGTGCTATACTAGGTCCCCTCCAGAAGATCTGCCACCTGTATGTCCCCTGCAGCCTCCCTGGCCTTAGGAACTGCTATCCTGGCTGAACCTACCTTCTGTCCTCTGGTCCAGCTCCCGCATCAGCTGGAAGTTCCTCTGAAGTTCACAGGGAAGGTTTTCAATGCCTGAAACAGACATGGAACCCCGTTTTTCTCTGTGCCTAAGTCTATGGTACTAGACCACTGTCTTCTATTTCTGTGCTAGGAAACAGTCTGAATTAAGACTTCTTTTCAGGGCCTGGTTCCAAATGGTGCTGACAGCCAGCAATCACATTTCAGGCATGGCCAGAAGCTACAGAGGTTGAGGAGACACCTCAGACAGCCAGGTTGCCAGCAAAAGGGGAGACAGCCATGACTCCTGGCTTAGGCTCCCACTTCTTTAGGTCACCCTAAAAAGGGGGAACTATGTTCTCTGAGGCATAAGGCTCTCCCTGATCTGCCCTAGTTTGCCCTGAGGTCAATGATATCCCAGAGTACCTGGAGCAAGTGCGAGTACATTCTCTGCACTGCCCTGGACATAGAAGGGCTGCCCTGTAGATGTAACCAATACAACCAAGGAGCTCAATTTCTTCTTTATTTTTTCTAAGTACTAGGGGAACCCCAGGCCTTTAGAGTGAGCTACAACCCTTCTCACTTTTTAAGACACTAAGGATGGGTGGGATCAGACTTGCCATCCTCCTGCCTCAGCCTCCCAGTGTGCTGGGATGACAGGCATGCACTACCATACCTGATGGAACTCAATTTTTAACTTTACAGTATCTAAATATCCCCTGTGGTTAGTGGTGACCCTGCAGGACAGGGAGTGGAGAGGTGCCCATGATGCTTCCTGACTGCAACACACCCCTCCACCTGACACGTAGACGGCAGGCTCCTTGCTCCTGTCCTGCCACCCCCATCTGCTCTCCACAGCTCAGATCTGATCCTACAAGTATTCTGCTTCAAGCACCACGGCTTCCTCACTTGTCCTAGAGGGCCTGCAAATGCCCACCCAGCCTTGGCTCGCCAACCCTGGCCAGCCGGTCCTCTGCCCACTGCTGGATTTCTCCACCCTGCATTGCCTGGCACTCTCCTCAACTATGCGCTCATTGTCGGTCCTTGCTCTTTTGTAAACTTTTAAAGACCTCTGTGCCCCACCTTACAATGAGCTGCAGGGACACAGGGCTCCGGCCCAATAAGGCACGCAGCAGATGCTCAGTGCTTGGGAGCCACCGGGCCGCCTTCACACAAGGATCAGCTAGCTCATTTTTGTTTTTTTGAGACAGGGTCTCACTATGCAGTTCAGGCTGGCCTTGAGCTCACTTTGTAGCCCAGGCTGGTCCGGAACTCAAAAACGATCCTCCTGCCTCAGCCTCCCTAGTGCTGGGATTACAGGTGTGCGCCACCACGCCTGGCTGGCTAGCTCACTTTGAACCTACCTAGGAGGTCCGTCGGTGGGCACCGGGACAGGGAAGGGTCTCCCCTGACATCTCCCACCCTGGGGCGCCCACTCCTCTGACCTGGCCAAGATTGCAGACAGGGCTGAACGTCCTCTGGGGTCCCCCATGCCCCCCCGGGTCTCATTTCCTCTCTACAGAGAGCGGGAAACAGTCATCCACATCTCTGGGGGACCCAGTCTGGCTCCCGGTAAACAGAGCGAGGCGTCCGCCCGTCTTATTGGACGTTCCCGCACAGCCACGCGGTACAAGCATCCAGCCTGCGGGAAGAAGCCACGGCCCAAGCAGTTGGCTCCGGGACGCCCCGTGCACAGGTGCTCGCCCAGCTGGCGCCGGGTTGCAGGGGCGGGGCCAGATAGG